TCTGCTGTGCATGTTTTAGTACAATTTTTAATCTCCTGGATTTCTACTTGAGCCTATTTTATGGGATTTAGTTCTTTTCTGTATTGGGCATTCATGATTCATGTCTTTCCTAAATTCCTCTTTCTTAAAAAAAAAATCTCGACTTCCGGGAGAACATGGCGGACAGATAACAGCAACTACCGGAGGCTCTCTGAAAAACTAGGCTCAGAAGCCAGGTATGGTGCGGACTAAAGAGACATAAGCAGGTGGAGTTATGCTCTGCTGACTCAGGAACGAACTCGGCTGAGAGAAACCAACTTGGAATGCAGTCCTGGTGCTAAAACAGGAACAGAAAAGTCTCGCTGCTGAGGCTGGACCCTGCGCCATTGGAAGCCGCGATTTGGGTTTCCCGCCGCGCAGTGGCTGGCTGCCTCTACATCAGCTCGGCAAGGAGAGAGACGCGCAGAAACTCTGAGAACGGGAGTCTGCGAACGGAGTCGAAAACAGGACGGGCAGAGAGGCATTTTCTGACTTGCGGCGAGGTGAGTGAGAGAAACTGACACTCCACCACAGTTTGACTCCAGCGGACTTTCTGGGCCCGAGCAGTCCTGTGGGAGCAGGGCGCGGTGGTGACTCCAGCCACACATTCCCCTCTCGGGTGGGATTGGTGAAAAGTGCCTGGCCTGCGTGACGCTGCCGGTGGACCCCGTAGGCTGGCCCATCCCAGATCCCAGAGCCTGACGGAGGCCGGGAGGGGCGGGCCCCCGCGTAGGCTGCCTGGTGCGCAGCGGTGAGTGGGAACACCTAACCGGCGCAATTCGATCAGGCTGTGGCTGACAGGGAGAGAAGCTGGGCCTCTCATATAAGCTTGCATATATAAGGAACAGAGAATATGGGAAGAAGCAGCAACAAGAAAGGCTCCTCGGCCCCCAATTCTGAGAAACAGGCAATAGCGGACACCGCACCAATACACATAAAGCACCATATAGAGAGCCTCATAGACCAATTCAGGAATGAAGTTATCAACGACCTGAAGCTAGAAGTATGCAAAATAGTTAGAGAAATGCTAAGCCCCACCCAGGAAAAAACAGATGGTGGAATGGAAGAACAGAAAAAGAGGGGAGAATTATTTGATGGAGAAAACAGGGAAAGCATAGAATACGTGAAGCAGGTTCAAAGGGACTACCAAGAAACTAAGAAGTCTATCGAAGACTGGCATAACAGCTTGAAAGAAACTAAGGACAGACTATCTGAACTGGAGGGCAGAATTGTAATATGGGAGAATGAAATGCAAAACTTCTTAAAAATAACAAAGAAACAAACAGCAATAATACAAAGACAAGAAGATGATAAGAGGTTCCATAACTTAAGGATTAAGAACATAAAAGAAGTAGGGACACAAACAAATGAACTACAAAAGCTACTCACAGAAATAATCCAGGAGAATTTTCCTAATTTAGCAAAAGGTAAAGATACTCAGATGTATGAGGCATACAGGACCCCAGCTACCTACAACCCAAACAGAGCAACACCCAGGCATATAATAATCAAAATTCCAGAAATTCAATACAAGAACAGAATATTAAAAGCTGTCAGAGACAAGAAACAGACCACTTACAAGGGAGCACCCATCAGAATTACAGCAGATTTCTCTGCACAAACCATCAAATCACGAAGAGCGTGGGGGGAAATAATTCAAGCTTTGAAAGATAATAATCTCCAGCCAAGATTGAGATATCCTGCACAACTGTCCCTGGAAATTGATGGAAAAACAAGGTGCTTCCAGGATAAAGAGGAACTGGGGGAATTTGCAACCACCAATTCAACTCTACAGAGAGTATTGCAGGATATTCTAAAAAAAGAAAAATACAAAGAACCCAGAAATAGTGGAGGCCACAACTAATGGAGCAGAGAACAAAGTGAAGAAGACAAACTGACAGCTACTGACAGAATAAGAGCTCAACAGAAATGAGGCAGAGAAGATTGGATGATAGGAACAGCTATTTTGGAGAAAATGACATCTTAATAGGTAATACTGATTTAGTATCATCTTGTTTTGAAGTCTCATCTAGCTTTTGTCCTTCTGTCTCCAATGGTCTAAATAGGTTGTATCTTACTGGATTTTATTACGTACGATAGTATAAGCAAAAACCTTTTAAAGACAAGGAGATTATACAGAAACCATTATTCATTTTCTGTTAGTCGATTCTAAATACTCTGTAATGCTGTCATTCTCTTAAATGGTTTTACATTGTTTTGATATACTTAATGCTACAGTATACGAAGTTGTACTCAAGGATTTCAAGGAAAGAGACAATATGGTAACTACTTTTAGGTCAGGATTATCTGGTGGTGAAACACTATTCTGCTTAAATGGTTATGTTTTGATCTGCACTGTTTCGTTGTTATGCCCTCTTTTATCTCAATCTCCACTCCATTATTTACTTTTTTAATACTTTTTAAAATTTTTTATCCTTTTAATTAAAGGAAAAAAAATAGCAGGATATATTATAGTAACCCACTTTGACTTTCCATTACCTCGATTTAAAGCCCTGTATTACTCTCACCATCTGGTTTTTAACTGATGTTCCCCTATTTTGTTTTGCTGGATAGTATCAGGTTCGAAAATTTAGGCATCAGCTGTGAAGATAATGAGATTCATTATAACGCCCATTCTTGTTGACTTTTATCTACTTTTGAAGACCTACAATGTCTCCAATGTTTTGGTTTTGTCGGTTTTGTTCTTTACTGTTTTGTTCAATTGTATTATAACTAATGGTATAGGCAATTCTATTAGAGATAGCGGGAGGCATTATGGTAACCATTGTTGATCACCTTGTATTATGTTTTCACATTATCTATTATGTCCACCCTTTTGACTTGACCGATTCTGTTCTGTTACGTCACATTTGGTTTTACTCTCTTCCAAAAAAGTAATAAGAACCGGGAGAGCAATGAAACCCAAAAAGTGTAATAGTCATTGTACAAAAGAGAGGAAAAGAAAGTGCTCTAAACTATATAACTGCATGTATATTTAAGTGTATAAGATAGAATATGATATCACAGAGTTTTATTGGATCATTGAACAGAACTGTTTGCAGTATCATTGATGGAATGTCCACTTTACAAGCTTTAATTTTGTGACTTGAACAATTATTTCTAAGATGACAATATGTAATCCATTAACTAGTGATTTCCTACTGTTCATTTTTTTTCTGCAAATCTGTATAACTTGTACCCTTTCTCTGCTTTTTTTTTCTTTTCTCCTTAAATAAAATTAAAAAAAAATCTCTATTTACTGTAGATTCACTTACCATTTCCTTTATTATGGTAATCATTTCTGAACCATCTTGGTTTTGTTTTTGTCAAGAGACTTACTGGTCTGTTTTGTTACATCTGCTGCCACCATTTCATAAAATTTAGCTGGGTGATTCTTAATTTCTTCCTCCTCAGTACCCTGCTGATTTGCTTTGAGTGAATTGGGGATTATGGGTTACATCTTGCTTCAGTGTTTTATCACTTTTTAAATTTGTTTTCTGTGTTGAAGTTTGTAAGTTGCTTATAGTAGATTGCGTTATGAGTAGTGTTGAGACCTCTTTAAGAAATGACTACTTTTCAGAGATGTCTTCTAGGCATAGCTGGCTTTTTACTTTTGAGTCTGTCCAAATTTATTAGAGATGAAAGATTGCTACCTGTTTGGCTAGAACTCAATTCTTTGCTGCTGAACTATAGTATTGTTTATGATCCTCAGACAATCTAGGTGTTGGCATGCAAGGAAGATCAGTTGATCACAGCTATGTTTAAGTAATACAACACTGGGAGCCCTGAGATGAACTGCTCCAAGTTCAAGGTTCCTTTGGCTCCACTCTCAACTGCCATCCAACCAAGCCACCCTTTCCAGGGTACGTGGAAATAGTTTGGAGTCACTCAGCACCCACAGCTTTGTTCACCTAGTGTATTTCTCTCTGGAGGCTTTCACTGTGCCTCTGTAGATTCAATCCTCCTCTTCCATGCAGTGAATCAGGAGCTAGGGAGAAAGTGTGGATTTTCCCCCTTTTTTCTACAGTGAGACCTTCTCTTCACTTTCTCTGTGGGCTTCAGTTTTCCCTGCTGATCTTTCCTGGCATCTGAGTATCCACTTCCCTCCTTTTTCCCCATGTTATTTTCTAGTGTCTGGATTCTGAATCTTGGAGAGGTTGACTTGCTGCTGCTTACCGCTCTGCTATCTTCTTGGAAGTCCTTCCCCAGTCTTCTTTTCTTTTCTTTTCTTTTTTTTTTTTTTTAAATTTTCTCTTTTTACTTTCTAATAAATTTTTTTAAAGAGAATAAAACCAAACAAAATAAGATAGAGTAAAGCCAATCAAAATAAAACAGTGTAATACAGGATTTCAAAAAAAGATAATAGAAAATAAATAATAGCTATCATAATGCCTCTTGTTATCTTCAAAATAGTTGCCTATACCATGAGACATAGGAAACTCAAAACAGAACAGAATAGAACCAATAAAAACAAAACAGTGAATGCAGTACAGGACTTCAAAACAAGATTAAAGGGTCTGATTTAGCTCAGCAGCATAAGCACCTGCCTTCCGAGCAGGTGGTCATGAGTTCGATCCCCAGTACTGGTAAAAAAAAATAATTATTTTTAATTAAAAGTTGATCTTGGACCAGGGATATAGCTCAGCAGCACAAGGCACTTGGCAAGTGCAAGGTTATGAGTTCAAACCGGTATCAAAAAAAAAAAGAAGTTGATCTCAAAAAACAGAACTGGATGTGGTGATATAACCTGTAATTCTAGCATTGTGGTAGGCTGGCCCAGGAGGATTGTAAAATCAAATCCAGCTTGGCAACTTTGTGAGAGTCTGTACCAAAACAGGTAGTAAAAAAAAGGGACTATAGCTATATAGCTCAGTGCAGAGGCCCTGTGATCAGTCTCTAGGTCTTTGGAGCTTAATCATACTAGATGAAGAGCCTTTGCTTTCTTAGGGGTCCCTTCTAAAACATCTTTTTATGCTTTATAGGAATCTGAATTTCTGTGTTTGGAATTTGATGAGGTGAAGGTCAACCAAATCCTGAAGAAGCTCTCAGAGGTAGAAGAAAATATCAACACACTGATGCAACCAGTCTAACGGAAGATACGGAGGAAAGAGTTGGAATTATTAAAGAAAGGTGTTAATCATCCTCCCCACTTTTTACAGTCCTGTCCCCTCATTGGTATTAAATTCTCAGTGTCCAGTCTTGCTAGGATTCTTTCATTCTCCCTTTCCCTTTAGTTTCCTTCTTTTTGTGGAAGAGGAGGATGCTGGAGATGGAATCTAGCACTTCATGAGTTCTAGGCAAATGCTGTACCACTGAGCTACATTTTCAGCCCTCATTCATTCTTACAGTTACTCCAGTGCAGAGATTCTCATACTTCAGCATGTATAAAGATGATTAGGGGCCAACTTGTTAAACTATTTAAATTCTAAAATTTATTCCAGTGGGTCATGGTGGCACACGCCTATAATCCCAGCACTTGGAAGATTGAAGCAAGAGAATCATTACAAGTTTAGGACCAGCCAGGACTACAAAGTGAGCTCAAGGCCAGCCTGAATTGCCTAGGGAGACCTTGTCTCAAAAAGGGGAAAAAAAAAAAAATTAGGCCAGGCATGATGGCCTAGCCTTGTAATCCCAGGACCTAGGAGGTTGAGGCCGGAGTATTGCCACAAATTAAAGGCCATCCTGAACTACATAGTGAAACCCTGTCTCAAAATAATAATCCTCAGAAACTTACATTCAGTAGGATTAGGGTGTGGAGACAGGGTCAGTCTTGGAAAGACTTCCTATGATCCTTTGTTCCTGGAGAGATTTTTAAAATTTATACATGATAAATTATGTAAGAATTTGAAAAGGAACAAGAAAATATCTTAGTCAAGGAAATACAGTGTTCATTGAGGTGTTATATATCCCAAAGTGAGGCCTAAAAGTTACCTGATACTAGTAGGATATTTTTGAAATTAATTTCAGTAGTTGGAATACTTAAGCCTAAATTTGGAGGAGTCTGGTTTGGTCCAAGCTACTATCAGAGACCCCACCAAGATCCCCAACTTCCTGATAGAGGGGTATAGAAAAAGGATGAAGTAAGAAACAGAGGCAAATTTAGTAATGCATGACTCAGAGGCTGGGAGGTTGTTGTACTTCCCCAAAAAGGCCCCCGAGATGAAAAATGGGGCAAGACCCCCGAGATGGAAAAAAGATGGGGTAAACGACATTTTAAGAAGCACTTTTATTTTAGCTGGCCCAGCAACACAGTGCAGATGGAATTTGCAAAGCTGTGCAACTGAGTTAGAATTTTGGCTGATTTTTATAGTTCATTTATGATTAGCTCATTGATCATTAAGTACATAGTGATGAGAAACAGAAACAAGGTGGACCTTTGTTCCCCTTTGCTTGAGGTCAGAGACATTTCATAGTGGGTGGTTAGCTAATTCATAGCCCTTGGTCTGCCAATTCTAGGAACATTTGTCTTTCATAAAGAGAACAATGGTTGACATAGCATCATTTGTCTCTTACAAGGGGAACAAAAGTTGACACAGCAAACAGGTTACTAAGGTGGTGGGGAACAACACATACAAAACAGCATGACAATGCAGTCAGTTAATTTATAACAATGTGGTCAGTGCTCCAGTTACATGGTTACTACAGAGGTCAGTGCCTCAGGATCGGCAAAGACAAAGACACTCTGAGCTAGCCATTGTGTATTGGGTGCATATAATCAGGGAAGGGATTATTGTGTGACTCAGGTCAGTGAGGATCTTTATGTTGATGAAGACTGGGGAGAGAGAGCAGGTTAACAAGGAGTTTGTCCTTTATTTAGAGTAAAACTATTTTTTAACTACTGGATTCTTAAGGAACCATGATATCTCTAGCTGGTGCAATCTTGCCCTGGGGCATCTCAGCATCACAGGACCATTGTGGCCTCAACTGTGACCTGAGGCACTAGTCCCGGGGCAAACCATATCATAGTTGTATTACAAGTGATTTTTTTCCCAAAAATTACTTAGAATGATGCTCAAAAACCCAGAGACTCTGGCTTTTTTGTAACCTAAAATTAAGCTGCTCGTGTAACAAAGGGACTCTATGTCTTTCCTTGCTTAAATCAGGATTATAGTAAGGAAAATGTCTACTGAGTCAATGCAAAGTCTTTTACCTCAGAAAATTTTATTCAAGTCATCAAAACCCCTTTGAGAAAATGTGTTCAAGAAAAATTAGTGTATGAAAGCTCGGTTCTAGAGGAGAAGTATGTTAGCATTCCATTATTAGGACAGGATACATAACTTAGGATAGAATAATCAACTTAGGAGGAGGAAAGACTTATTTCATTTCACGTTTAAAAGGTTTCCACCCATGATTGCTTGGCTCCATTGGTTTGGGGCCTTTGGTGAGGCAGATCGTGGGGAGCATGTGATAGAGCAAAGCTGCTCACCTGAGACTGACTGGAAAGCAGAGAGAGATGTGGAGGGACCAGGGCCCTAATCACCCTTTAGGGGCAGGGTTCCCAGGTTTTGGGGCATGATGATACCATAAGAACATGTTTATAAGGAGCTGGGGATTTAGCTCAGTGGCATAAGCACCTGCCTTGCAAGCAGGCGGTCATGAGTTCAATCCCTGGTACTGATAAAAAAAAAAAAAAAGAACATGTTTATAAAGTAGTATTTACAGATGCTACAGATGTAAATACAGTAGTATTTACAGATATTTCACGATCAATTAGAAGTCTCTGACCAAGTTTCTGTTCTGCTGTTTCTGCTGAATTCAGTTGACCTTGACAGGGTTTGTAGCCTTCTGCTGAGCACTGGGTCAGAGTATTTGTCTATACCGTGAGTCACCTTGGGCTTACTCAAGGGCCTGCTCCCTGGAATGTTTCTATATTATGGTAGTGCTTTTAACTATGCTTACTCTGTAAGGACCCCCTCCCCTTGTTCTGTATTATGATAAACAGTTCCTTTGTGTCAATCTGTTTAAGACTAGTCTGCAAGTCAATATGGAACTCAATGCATGTAACCAATTATGTAACATTTTGTCACTTGCTTTACACCTCGCGCTTCTAAATTCTATATAGACTAAACTCTTCTTAGGTTTAGCACTGTTGCCTTTGAGAAATTATCCACAGCAGTCCACTGGCATGACAATCCAATAGTCCCCTGGTATAAAGATTAAATGCTTAAATGCTGCCTTCTTATCTCCTTGGTGCAAAGAGTCTTCCTTTCTTTTTGGTTTGATTTGGCTTGAGAATTTTCCCACAGCATAAGGACCCAACTTCCTTCCCATAGGCCCCGCCTCTTCAGTGGTTGCACTGCCTTCTAGTAACACCACAAGCTATTGATCAAGCCCTCAACACATGGCCTTTGGGGACATTTAATATCCCAACTCCAAGCCACAACAAGAAGTTACCAGACACCAAGCATATTCTAACAGAAGGAGGCTAAGCTAAATGCGGTGGTGCCTGCCCATATTCTAGCATTCTGGGAGCCCAAGACAGAAAGATTACAATTTTGATCCCTGTGTGGGTGATTTAGTGAGACTCCACCTCAAAATTAAAAATAAAGAAGGACTAGGGATTAGGTCAGTGTAAAGGCCTAGGTTCAGTCCCCAGTACAACATGTACACACACACACACACAGAAGAGGAAGCTGTTATCCAGTACATTAAGGCTATGATTCTTGTTGAACAGGTTTGGTATCTGATGCTTGATAATATTTAGAAACCCTAGTTGCCTTTGGATAAGTTTCCCAAAAATATGGTTCTCTTTGTGGTTACAGCCTATGTCAGTTCTAATAGTTTATTCAAGGATAGGAATAAGTCCTTTTCTGTTAAGTAGACTTTACTAAATCAGTTTGGAGACATTTGAGGAGTTCTTCCAACACCCAAGCTGAATATCGCATATTGTCTTCTTCCCTGATTAACACACTCCTGCCAGTTTGAACCACATGTATGCCCCGTTGTGAATGTGTTAAAATCATCTCAACTGAGGGGGAGGAACAAGATGGCAGATAGATAACAACTTGCTACAGAGGCTCTCTGAGATAGTCAACTTAGAATTCAACATAATACAGAGTTAGGAGCCCCAAACAGAGGGAGATGAATTCTCTCGTCCCAAGAAGAAATTAAGGTGACTTGCCTACCATCTGAGGTCCCGCCACAGCTTGCCAAGGTCCCATCACGTTTGCTGAGCTGTCTGAGGTCTCGCTGCTTCAACATTGAATTTGGAGGCTGGCGAGCCAAAGGGAGAGCTGAGTTGGCAGGGTACCTACATCAAACTGTGGTGAGTGATGTGAGTGGAGCCATTCCATAAATGGGGGGCTCTGGCAGATGACATTGTGGGACTGGGCAGGACTGGCAAGTACAAAGGGCAGCAGCAACTTCAGTCAATTGCTCCCTTCCTGAAAGGAATTGGTGGAGAGAGGTAGGCCTGGGTCACGTGACCTGGCTGAGAACCAATAGGTTATCTGAAATCAAGTCCCTACAGTGGTGGTGCACACTAACCCAGTGAAATCTCAGAAGTTTGACTAACCGTGCAGGCCACAGCAGCTTGACTGACCCGGAGGGGAGGCAGTGCCAAAAAATGTAGTCCACATCACAGCACCTTGACTGATCCCCATGCCACTGCACTCCACCAGCCACCTGTGGCACCTTCGGACCACCGGCGAGACCTCTCGCCATGGCCCCAGGAATGACTGGGCACACACCGGCTGCCCCAGCCCCTGACCCCGCCGTGGCTGATGACCCAGAGGGGAGGCAGTGCCAAGGCTGCCGCTGTCAGCCGGAAGAGAGGTGATGCAAAGTAATACAGTACAGGCCACAGTGCTCGACTTATCCAGAGGGGAGGGGCCAGCCTATGCTGTCCCTATCTGCAACTCACTAGCACACTGCAGTGGAGAGGGTCATCTAGAGGGCCAGCGCACTTCAGAAGAATTGTAACCAACAAAGAAAGAAACTGGGGCCTCCTGGGAGAAGCAAAAAAGATGGGAAGAGGAAGCAACAACAAAAAGTCCCCAGGTCCCAACCCTTAGAACATTGACCCAGGACAGGTAAATACAAAGGAGAACAAGAACAGCAAACATGTAATATCAGACACAGTGCCATAAAGAGATATATTCGGGACCTCATAGACGAGTTCAAAAGTGAAGCATTTAGCCAAATAAAACAAGATATAAAAAAATTAAAAGAGATACTAAACACCCCTCAAGCAGACACAGATGGAAGAAGGGAGGAACTCAAAGGAGAGAACATTTAATGAAGAATATAAAAAAATATAGAATACATGAAGCAGATTCAAAGAGATCACCAGGAAATTAAAAACTCTATGGAAAGATGGCAGATCAGCTTGAAAGAAACTAAGGATAGGTTATCCAAACTGGGGGACAATTTTGCAATGTGGGAGTATGAAAGGGAAAACTTTAAAAATAACAAGGAAACAAGCAGTAACAATACAAAGGCTAGAAGATGACAAAAGGATCTATAACTTGAGAATAAAGAATGTGAATGGAAGGGGCTGGGGATTTAGCTCAGTGGCATAAGCGCCTGCCTTTAAGGCAGGCAGTCGTGAGTTCAATCCCCGGTACCGATAAAAAGGGGAAAAAAAAAAAAAGAATGTGAATGAAGAAGCTGGGGTACTGCTGAGAGATTAGTTTCACAAAAAAAAAAAAAAAAAAAAAAAAAAAAAAAAACCAAAAAACTGGGGTACAAGCAAAGGAACTGCAAAGGTTATTCACAGAAATAATTAAGGAAAACTTCCCAAACATAGGAAAAGGAAATGATATTCTGATATATAAGGCATACAGAACTCCAACCACCTACAACCAAAACAGAGCTACACCCAGGCATATAATAATCAAGATCCCAGAAATTCAGTATAAGAAGAGAATATTAAAAGCAGTTAAGAGACAAGAAACAGATAACCTATAAAGGAATGCCTATCAGAATAATGGCAGACTTCTTGACACAAACCATCAAGTCAAGAAGAGCCTGGAGCAAAGTATTCCAAGCCCTGAAAGAAAATAACCTCCATCTCAGATTGATATACCCTGCTAAACTTTCTCTAGAAATTAATGGAGAAACAAGATGCTTCCAAGACAAAGAGGAACTTGGGAAATTCACAACTACCAATCCAAGTCTACAGAGAATAGTGCAGGGCATTCTAGAGAGAGAGAAAAGTACTAGGATTCCAGGAACAGTGGCAGAGAGGCCTCAATGAATGGAGCAGAAAACAGAATGAAGAAGATAAGCAAACAATGATGGCAAACAAGAGCATAACAGAAATGAGACAGAGAAGATTTTATTCAATATTCAAAACATTTGATTGATAGTATCAAGTCTGAGAGTATAGGCAACTACACTGAAGATGACAAGACTCTACAATACACACTCTGGTTTGATAACTGCTGGTTTTTGAAGTTCTATACTATATACAAAGTTGTGTTTTTATTAATACTGTTATGTACTGATATATTCAATTATACTATGTCTGATGATATAGCAAATTCTATTGGAGATAACAAGAGATAACACAAGGAACCATGGTAGAACTCTTTGTACAATGGTCTTATATGTTTATTTTGTTTTATGTGTTTATAGGAATATGTTTTGTTTTGCCATGCTTTGTTTTGTTACTCCCTCTAATATAGAAAGGATAGACATACATGTTAAGACTCATGCATATGTAGAATCTGTAAACAGTTTATGAGAACAGGTCTTATAACACATGATGAAATGAACAGATACTTTGAAGAAAAAGAGACACTAAAATACTCAGTGCTGATCCTAGAGTGTCATAATGTGAAACCCAGCAATAGTAGTATTCTTTGTTCAGAGTGATATTAGCCTCCTTGGGTTTAATCAATGTCAACATTAATTGAAGATATGGATAACTGCATCTATGTTTAAGTGTATAGAATTGATAACCATATTTCTAAGTTTTTGTTGGATAGTTGAACAGAACTGGTTGCAACTCACTGTTTGAATCCCCACTTTATGTACTCCACTTTAGTATCTTGAAAAACCATTTGTAAGAAGATAATCTGTAATCATCAACTAGTGATTTCCTACTGTTCATTTTTTTCTTTGAAATTATGTATTATTTCTACCTGTTTTCTGTTTTGTTTAGTCTTTCTTTAACTTAAATTTTAAAGGCACTACAGTACCCAGTGCTGATCACAGAGTATCGTGATGTAAAATCCAGCAATACTATTATTCTTTGTTCAGAATGATTTTGACCTGCTTTAGTTTGTTTAATCTAAACATAAATGAAGATATGGATAACTGCATGTATGTTTAAGTGTATAGGATTGACAACCATGTTACTAAGTTTTTGCTGAACAATCGAACAGAACTGTTTGCAGTCTCACTGTTTGAATTCCCACTTTACATATTCCACTCTTGTACCTTGAACAACTATTTGTAAAACAACAATATGTAAACATCAATTTGTAATTTCTTAGTTTATTTTTTTCTCTGAACATATGTATTATTTCTACCTATTTTCTGTTTTGCTTAGTCTTTCTTTAAATAAAATTTTAAAAAATAATAAAAATAAGATCATCTCAACTGTTTACCAACAGTGACTAGGAAGTTTTAAATATAACTCCTGAACTCATCAGAAAATCATTTTGAAAGAACACTTAAGAACCATGTATAGTGGCTCATGCCTATAGTCCCAGCACTTGGGAAGCTAAGGCAGAAGGATTACTACAAGTTTGAGGCCAGCCTGGACTATATAGTGAGTTCAAATCTAGGCTGGACTATAGAGCAAGACCCTGTCTCAACAACAAAAAAAGGCAAAAACAACCCCCCTCCCCCCGCGACTCCTTAAAACTTATTTTCTATTCCTAAGGCTTCTTTCTATGACCAGGAGAAGTTAGATAATTTCTTGTGCTATAAAAAGAAGGAGAAAAGTATTTCATTAGGTGGGAGGAACTGGGATTTGTAAATATCCAGTATCAGATGACAAGTCTATTCTACAAGAACCTTGCCTTAGTATACCTCCTCCTCCTTTTTTTTTTTTTAAACAGGGTGTCCTATGTAGCTCCTGCTGGCCTTGAACTCACTGTGGAGCCTAGGATGGATTCAGTTCTTAATGATCCTACTGAATGCTAGGATTACAGACTGGCATCATCTTGCCCAGCACTCCTGCCTCTACCCCTTTCGTCCCAACAGTCAAGTAGAACGGGGCCCTTGAGAGAG